TAATTAAAGTTCTCCACAATCACATGAAACACCACTGGGTGCTTTATCTGCCATGAGCTCATAAAGCTCTTCATACTTCATTAGCATCAGCTCCCGGTGGGATGCAAACAATGGTGAAACAATGTTTTTTCCCAACCAGTGGCCACAGTCCACATAGAATAACTAAAGACTGTTGATCGGGAGACCTGAGTCTAGTATGTTACTGTTAAACCTAGTTTCTTTGAGCCAAAAATCAAGAACAATTTAAAAATATGATTAATACATAATAAAAGAATGTATCATTGTCTAAATTAATCAGCCTCGCCAAGTTTACATGTCTCTGGTTAGGTACTTTGACTTAACTTGCAAAATTCAAAGTATCAAAGACCATCAACAGAAAGGCATCTAAAAATAACCTAAGACATTCGTCAAAAGTATAATTTAAAGTGTTAAACTGTTTTATTGCTTAAGTTTTGTTTTCTTTATTCTATAAATATGTATTCAGTTGCATATCTTAAATTTACTTAAATTTACTTGTGCATTTTATTCACAACTGAGTTACATAATAAAGAATTTTTCTCGTGCACAAATGTATGAAAATAAGAAATTTTGCATTATGACTTAGTGCTGTTTAATATGAATGAATCCCATTGGAGTTAAAAGTTGTTTTGTTCATCTATTTTTTTAGAAGATAATTTCACAGTTTATTTTTCCACAGTTCCTTCTTTTGATCTTATGCATTTTTACTCCCCCCAAAATCCAAGTTCGTCTTTGAAAATAGGTCCAGCTCACTTAAATGAAATAGAGACTTTATGCATGTTTTTTTTTTTCTTTTTTCTACAGATTCTGACTTAGACTTGGATTTTATTCAAGCCAAAACCAACTAATATAGCTGTAGTTATATTAGTTTGGCCATAGTCATGCTGGAAAGGGACCCTCTGCACCACTATGAAGACTTTGGAGCCTTTTTCCTTGTATCGTCCTGTATTTACATTCATCCATCATCCCATCACCTCTGACCTGCTTCCCTGTCCCTGCTGAAAAAAAGCATACATACTGAAAGATGCTGCAATTGCAAAATGTAAACATGAGGATGTTATGATCATATTTCAGATGTTTTCTTGAGAGATTTTTTTTGGTTTTATTAAGCACTTTCTTTTAGGTTTGCTGTTTCCGTCTATGGCAAATTACAACCTGGTTTCTTTCAACAGAGGTTTTCTTTTAGCTACTCTTTCATAAAGGCACTATTTGCTGAATGCATGATTAATAGTTGTCCTGTCAACAGATTCTGCCTCATAAGCTTATGATCCCTGCAGATCCTCCAGAGTTCAAAATCAGCCTGTTAGCTGTTTTACTGATTTATGTTCTTTTGCCCAAACTCCTCTACATTAACTCCATAGAGGCAGGTTATTCTTTTTCCTAATGTCCAGCCTCTTTTTAATGGTCATTTGTTTGTTTGCGCAGTGCTCACATGAAGCAGGACTTTTTCTGGTGCCACTACCCTGACTCCTTGGCCAGTATCCAGATTGCTGCTGCCATCATGCTGTTGGCTGTTCATGTTTTCTGCGGCTGCTAAACCAGGAGACAGAACCTTTGGGCTTATAGTTACGTTTGGATCCTAGCCATTGCAGCTTAAGATTTTGAGGTCTCCTTCACCTGTTAGAGGCCGTTTTTCTGATGCATTCATCCTGTCCTTTTTTGAGTCATGTCCTCTGATTAATTTACTCAGCTCTAGAGCTTTACATAAAGGTTGTCTTTGTTTTATTATTTTCTTTAATCAATAAACCATGAAATATTTTTTTCTTATTTTCTGCAATTATATTTCACTACTTTGTCAGTGGTGAACCAAAATGGCCCCATGGGTCATTCTTTCTTGCATGCAGAAAAAAGCTAAAAACATATTAATTACAACACACCATTCAACAAGCTAAGATAAACATATCTTTACCAAGAAAGTCACTGCAGACTGTATGAATTTTTTATCATCTATGAACATTTCTGGGCTTTATGTTGATAAATTGGACTTTGTGCACTGATCATATCTAATGATTTGTTTTTCTGGAAGTTTAACCGTGTTCCAGGAGATTTCAGATTTTCTCATCTCTAGCAGGAGTCCTTAGAGGCATCCTCACAACACCTGCACTGTGTTTCTGTTAGGATCAGAATGCAAAGCTATTACACACTGGAGGGTTTGTCTCAATCACACAGAATGGCTATGAATTTTAAATGTGGGATTAGAGCCCACAGAGGAGCGAGCGCATGGGAGAGACAGTCAGTTGAGTGCTAATTTGATTTTTTACAAACTGCTCCTACAATACATTGTTAAGACCTATTGCTTGTGCTTTGGTTTGGTTGTTGTTTCCCTAAATCGAACAACAGGAACAACCTGGCAAGCGAAAAGGAAATCATTTGATCAAGATGTAAGACCTTGCCTGAACTTAATAAAACAAATTGTTAGAACCTAATGTCCACTTTAAATCTACTATGTATGCCAATTTGGCCCATCACTTTGAGACTGTAAAGGTTATTTGTCGTGAATATGACCAAATATGTTTACTATCTGTAGTTAATGTGATCCAAGTTGCATTCCAAAGCTATGAATGGTGGGGCGCATTTCAGTGCTCTGAATTAACAAAAGAAAGTAATTGAAGTGACACAATGGAGGCAGGTAAAGAAAGGTTGGACAACAAAGTAATATTTCCCTTAACTGTTTTAATAGAAGGCTGCTCAGTGGAGCAGTGGGTAGCAGTGCTTCCTTGCAGCAAGAAGGTTCTGGGTTTGATTCCTGGCTCAGTGTCTTTCTGCATGGAGTTTGCATGTTCTCCCTGAGCATGTGTGGGTTCTCTCCGGGTACTCCGGCTTCCTCCTGCAGTCCAAAAACATGACTGTTAGGTTAATTGGCTTCTCTAAATTCTCCTTAGGTGTGTGTGTGTGTGTGTGTGTGTGTGTGAATGGTTGTTGGACTGTGCTGTGATGGACTAGCGATCAGTCCAGGGTGTACTCCACCTCTCGCCCATTGACTGCTGGAGGTAGGCATCAGCACCCCTTGTGACCCCACTCGGGATAAGGGTGCTAGAAAATGGATGGATGGATGTTTAAATAAATACATTGCGGTTGATTTAGAGCAATTTAAGTTTTTAGCAGGTTTAATTTTAGATTAGTATAGCATTAAAACTAAAAGCTGCTTCTACATGTGTGGTTCTGGTTCTGGGTATGCAGAGTAGAACTGTGTCAGAAGACCTGAGGGGTCTGTCCAGTTCATAAACTGACAACAAATTTATAATGTATTTTGGTGACAAGCAATCACTAATTTATAAACTAATAGAAGTATTCTAAAGTCTATTCACTCAGATAACAGGAGCTAATCATTTCAGAACTGGGGAGGATGTGCTCTACTTTCCTTTTAGTGAGGACGTGGGCAGCAGCTTTTAGCTGTCTGATCAAGCTTTTACACAGACCTGTGCAGACACTAGTGCAGTAATGAATTCTACTAAAAATAAACGCATGGATTGATTTGGTCCAAAAATTATAGCTTCAACTTTGCAATAGCCTTTTTTTCCAAGGTTGTTCTTCCCATCCAAAAAGCGTTCTAAATTCAAAATGTCTGGAGTAGTGTGGATCTCCAGGCTTTATAGAATAGCCAAACAAAAGCCTTGTTATGGCTTAGAAAACATGCATATGGAACTGAATAAGGTCCAACCTTTTGTAATGGGGAGTCGTTGAGGTTCTTGTTGGCCTGCAGATTAACCCGAAACTGGCCCATGCCCCTGTAATTGGGAGTCGTTAGGGTCGATGTTGGCCTGGCTTACTGGAGCAATGTTCTGACAAACTGTATGGCAATGCGGATTGAGATGATAGTGAGAAGGAATCAATTCTAAAGCTGCGCTATAGGTTTTCAAGAACTGAAACCTGAGTCCTCCTCTGTTTAATTTTGGTTTTTCTCTCTTAAAATAAATGGCTTCCTTCACACCCCTTTCAGATCACCATGCAATTTTGGACTCTTTGTCCAAAATGTCAACATTTTGGTCCTCAAAAGATTGTCCAGTAGTTTTGTTTTTTAACTTTTTTTTTTATTGACTATGATCTTGATGACTGATAATCTTCACCAGAAACTTCAGTTTTGATTAAATTCTGCCACATCTATGGGTCAATTTCCGCTTTCCATGTACACACTGCTTGAATGAGCACACAGTCACCCAGTCACAGCATTATGTTTAGCTGCATATTGTCTGCATAGTTATTGTAACTATGGGTACATAAATGAAATAACAACTGAAAATGAGAAACATGTAACTCATATATCTTTGATAGGTCCAGAGAAGAAAATGTGAAGTTATTAGATAAGAACACGTGTATAAGACTATACTGGCAAAAAAAAAAAAAACTACTACTTTGTTGTTCTATTTAAAACCTGCAAGTAGACTTAGGCAAGGTGAAAAAAAAAAAAAAAAAAACTACTACTTTGTTGTTCTATTTAAAACCTGCAAGTAGACTTAGGCAAGGTGATAATGCAAATGTGATGTGATCTGAGTCCAAGCATGCAGAATCATTTAACTCTGAAAATGCCCCAGGTGTGCCTGGCAGGAGCCGGTCTACAGCTGTGAAGCAGTAGAACATCGGAGTAATAAAGTAGAATGATCAAAAATGTGAAATGCTGTTCTAAGGTCCCATAATACCAAAAATAAAGCCCACGTTTATAAGAATATCGCTGAGCAGTTTGACAAGGGTAGTCTTGGTACAATGGTGAGTATGACTGGCTTCCCCACATTTACTCAGTCAAAGCCTTTCAACTGCTGAAATGCAGCTTTGTCAATAATCTTCATGATGAAGGGGAGGAGTGCAGTTCTGCAGTAGCAACCTGTCCAATTTGCTCATTCTTCAACAGTGGTATGATAATTGCTATTTAAAGGGCCTGGGGGAAAACACCTGACAAAACGAAGGTGTTTATTTTTTGATGCAGCATGAATAGTGTCACTTGAACTGCTTTGGTAGTGATAAATATTATTCCTTTGATGTTTCAGGTGGAGATATGGAGGATTCATCTCCGTATGAACCTGTAGCCCCCAACCGGCAACCTGACGTGTTTGGCTTGGCTTCCATCTCTTCAGGTATCCCTCCTTTGATCTTAACTGAGATCAACACTGAGCCTATGAGGCCCTTTTGTACCTTCTCTGGAAGGTACAAAAGGGCTTCAAGAAACATGATATTGTGCATTTTATTTACTACTCATCTAGTTTATTTAAAAACTGTTTTTTGTTTTATACATACATATATATATATATATATACTTCACTGAGGAGAAAAAATTAGAATTTATAATGTGTGCATTTTCCTTTAACATGGTTTTTAAGTTTACTAATACTGATTCAAAAAGTGCCATGCAACATAAATTTATTTTAGAAGTGGCTGTGTTATTATATAAAATACATCTATGTGTAATTTGTTCTCATTATAAATCCTGTGTTCATGTGTAGGCATGAGACGTTTACTAGTAGACATTAATAAACAGGAAATCATGAAGACGCCGGTTAGGGAGACTTTGAACATCTCACTGAGCAATGCTCATGTATCATCTTAAGCTGCAATAATAGAGAAACTTAAACAAAGGCTGACAGAATATCTGTAAGTTCTGAACCACACAAGTGTACCCTTCATTAAAAAAAGGTTATAGGAAACCTATAGGAATTCCTCCTCAAACCTCTCTAGAAGTGACATTTTAATGCTATGCTCAAACAGTTACAGTAGGAATGGGACAAGATGTATTCTGGTATGTATGTGAACATACAGATATCACCAGGTTTCAGCTTTCATGCAAGGTTAAGAATGACATCCTGTAAAGTTGCATCTGTGATTACACAAAAAGTATGTTCTATATACTATGATTTAAGCTGGTTGATTACAAATTCATACAGAAGTTGTCAGATTTTAATTAAAAACATGTAAAACCCATGTATTTTGCAATTTTTATTATTGCAATGAAATGCTTTAAAGTGATTGCTTAGAGTGTGACAAACTAAGGAAGGGAGTTTCTAAAAGCCGCTGCTGTAAAAATCAGCTAGTTTTCTCTTTACATGGTGCTGATTACTTCATCTGTCATCAGATATACAATGGTTGTTGGGTAGGAATGATTATACCACACTGTGTGTGTGTGTGCACCATATTGCATTTTTCCCAACCATTGATTTTGCTTCTAGTTTGATTTCTTCTTTGGTTTACTAATTAAACAGCCCAGCAGAGTTATAGCCTGCCATTTCATCTGCTAGTTACCATTGCCTGGGTGTCAGAAATCAATGCAGCTACCCACATTTTAAAAACACAGCAACAATAGAAAATTCACCCCAGAGTTTGAGCTGTATAATAGATGTGATTGGAGGAAGGGACAACTAAACCTTGACTACTGTACCAAAGGATTTGGTTATTTTCCTCACCATGTTTGGTTTTTCCCCATTTGATTTTTGCCAAAAGCAGCTAGTGAATACTAAACCCTAACGCATTTCCTCTTCTTTCTTGGCAGATGTACTACTAGTTTTAACTTCTATTTCATATCTAATGGGAACGCACAGTGTATTTGACTTCCAAAACCAATGTGTTTTTAAAGACTGGTTCTAAAAATAGGGGAAAACACCAAGGGAAAACACTCCTGACTTCAGTTGTGCTCTAGGTACGAGCCTTACTCAAACCAAGCATGACCTTAGTGGCATTGGTTTTGTAAGATGATGATGCAGCCCACCTTTAAGAAGTCTGGATATTCTTTTGTGTATATAATTTAAATTTTTTTGTATTTTTCTCTTTATTCAATGGTTCAAGTTTAATCCCCTATGGTTATACTGTAGTTCTTTGCAGTTTTACCCTAGTTAATCGTTTGCATGTTTTCTTTTTTTCTATTGTTTTTTGTAGTTATATATTCTTTACATCTCTATTTTCCTTGGCTTTTCTTGTATTTCTGTGTCTTATCTACTCTGGTTAATTAGTCTGCCAACCTCAGCCATAGCCACAGTCGAGTCAAGTTGATTCTGCTCACCTGAATGGGCCCCTCTGTGTTGCCCACAGCCTACACCCATTTCTTTGCATATTTCAGCTCTCAGTTTGTCTTTGTTCCCTACAGGGTTTTCCTATTTGCCTATTTTTTGACTTCAGGGTCCAAAAATTCTTGCCCATCTGTTTTATGACGCTTTCCTGGCTTTCCTGTGCCCGTGCTCCCTATCGCATTCCATTAAAAAATACCTTTTCGTATGTTTTCTTTTTATTTATCATTAAAAACACTCAGCCTGACTTCAGTTGTGCTCTAGGTACAAGCCTTACTCAAACCAAACATGACAGTATGACCTCTCTTTTGAGATTTTCAACTCAACAGGCACTCAAGATAAAAAGTTAGAAGTGTTATGTGGTAAGTGCAGTATGTTGTGATAAATCTTGCTGCGTGGACGTAAAAATATATTTGCCAAGGTGAAAAGAAGTAGTTCAGTAGGATGTGTCTTGACGTAACAAGATACAACAGGGGACTCATTACTGTATCCATTTTATTTCAGCTGTTTCTCCCATTCTCTTGGAGGTGAAGTATTGAATCCACTCACCAACAATCTTTTTAGCCTCCAGCTTTGCTCATTATTTATAATTTCTGAGGGCAGAGTAATTGATTGTGGCACTGAGAGTAAACCACAGGCAAACAAAATAGGTAATTACACACTCATTTGTGCACTTCTCGCTATGTTTGCCATGGCACTCGGAAGCATTCATATTCATGTTTGTAAACGTTACTGTATGGATAGCAGGGGAATATGTGATATATTTTTGGCTTGTGATGCTAGGGGGAATATGGACTCTCAGAAAGCAGCAGTTGAAAATTGAAAAGTAATTTCAGCTAAGTTTTTGTCTGAAAATGAAGATAGGGTTCAGAGAGTTGGACTGAAAGGAATGGCAATTTAATAATTGAATATGCCCTCTCACTAAGGCAGAAATAAATGTAATCTAAAGACACTTTGTTTCTCCATATGACCATATGGTAGGGCAGATCAGCTAAAGCTCTTTGGTTTTGTTTTCTTCAAAAGCAGTGCAGGTTTCAAGCAGTCTATATTTAAAACAAAGGAATGATCCTGTACGATCTGTCAAGAATAAGGGCAGCATTATTATTCACAGTACTTCAATAATGAAGTCATGAGGTATAAACAAACAGATAAAATGCACATTGCTTTGGCTTTGTATGCCTCTATCAGCAGTTTCAGTGACTCAATGCACTGGCTAGTTTCACATCTACATTCTGGTTAGCTATTCAGAAAATAGTGAGCCTTTTTGTAGGGTTAGGGTTAGGGTTAGGGTTATTTCTGAGTTAAATTACAATAGAGCAGGACTCTCTTTATTCTGAAAGTAAATGTTATGCGTCACTCTACAATCTATGAATAAGAATTTAAGCATCACCCAGAATTTACTACATACAGTATAATACTATTTGTAGTTTTTGGCAGGCTTGTCCAAAATGTCTTCATTAAATCTTTTGTAAATTTGTTTATCCTGCTCTTTAGTTAAAATACTTTTATGGTTGTTGAAATAAACATGTACTTCTGGTCATTTAAATTAAACTACACTGCTAAAAAATAAAGGGAACACTCAATTGACAATCCCAAAACTGAATGAATGAAATATTGTTATTTAATACTTTATGTACAAAGTATAATATGCCTGTATGACCTCCCTACAATGCCTGGGCATTGTTCTGAGGGATCTCCTCCCAGCCGCGACTAAAGCATTCACCAACTCCTGAACAGTCAATGATGCAATGTAACGTTGGTGGATGGATTGAGGCATGATCTCCAATATGTGCTCAATAAGATTCAGGTCTCGAGAACGGTCAGTCTATAGTTTCAACACCTTCAACTTGCAGGAACTGCTGACACACTATAGCCAAATGAGGTCTAGCATTGTTCTGGATTAGGAGGAACTTGGGGCAAAACTCACCATCACATGGTCTCACAAGGGGATTGAGAAGCTCATCTGGGTATCTAATGGCAGTCATGCTATGTCTGGTGAGCACATGGAAGGCTGAGTCGCCCTCAAGTAATGGTAAGTAAAGGTGTGCCACCCCACGCCGTTACTGATCCACTGCCAAACCGGTCATACTATAGGATGTTGCAGGCAGCAGATCGCTCTCCACAGTATCCTCAGACACTGTTACATCTTTCATGTGTGCTCAACGTGAACCTACTTTCATCTGTTAAGAGCACAGGGTTCCAGTGGCGCCTTGTGTTCTCGGGCAAATGTCAAGCGTTCTGCACGGTGTTTGGCTGTGAGCACAACCCCCCTCTGTGGACGTCGGGCCCTCATACCCTCCTCATGGAGTCTGTTTCTGACAATTTGTGCAGATACATGCACATTCGCGGCCTGCTAGAGGTCATTTTGCAGGGCTCTGGCAGTGGTCCTCCTGTTCCTCCTTGCACAAAGGCAGCGGTAGCAGCCCTGATGCTGTGTTGTTCCCCTCCTACAGCCTCCTCCATGTTTCCTGGTGTACTGGCCTGTCTCCTGGTAGCATCTCCAGCCCCAGGACACTACGCCCACAGACACAGCCATTCTGGATGAGCTGCACTACCTGAGCCACTTTTGTTGGTTGTAGAGTCACCAAAATTAAAAACTGACGAAAACATAAAACCAGAAAGCACAGCTACTGAGAATTGGTCTGTGGTCCCATGTGAAATTGATTGTTAATCAGTGTTGCTTCGAAAGTGGAAAGTGTGATTTTACAGAAGTTTTATTAAATTTAAGTTATGTTGTGTTTCCATGCTACATTTATTTATTTCTTTTGAGTAATGTATTTTTCCTTTTTTAAGATTTTCCAGGGACAACATGATGGATTGGAAGTTCAGATTTACCAATGTGAAGGTGAACCAAGGTTTAAAAAGTTACAGTATCAAACAACACAAACATGTTTTTGTCTTTTCATTACAATTTTAAGTCCCTGGGGGAAAAAAAATCCAGTTGTGTAAAATGTTGTCAGACATGGTTTAGAAACCAAAGCAGTGACACCTACAATTTTCTTACTAGCTTACAGTAAAGAGAGATCAAAGGAGCTTGCCTTCAACCTCAAATAAGGCAGGATATAAATGTAAAATGATAAACA